CTTTGGTTGCCAAGTCTTGTCCAAAGATTTAAGAATTTTTATATTTAATTCATCATTGTCAAAGGACTTACCTAACCCAATGAGATGATTCACTATGTGCGTTAAACACTTTTGAACATCTACAATAGTTTCTCTTTGCTTCATGCAGAACATCTCATAACATTATTCTGGCTCTCTTAACATTATTAGTTCCTTCATGGGTGACTCTCAGTATCTCCAACATCTCTTGAGAATTCTTATAGGTTGAGATCCTGTAAATCTCATCAACAGTTAGAGCAGATGATATTATATTAAGAGCCCTTACGTCCTGTTAGGATCTTCTTCTATCATTAGCATTTCATTGTTCTAGTAGTTTGAGTTCTTGCAAATTGTTAATAAACACAGTAGGAACAAAAGGACCATTTGTGATAGTTTCCCAAATCTCTCTATTATTATATTCCATGAAAATTTGCATTCTCACTTTCCAAAAAGCATAATTTTCTCCAGTAAACAATGGAGGTCTATTGATAGAAGCATCCTTACCAAATGTTTGATGTTGTCCTATTATTTTGACTTACTATCAAAGCAAGCTCTAATACCAATTGTCAGAGCGGTGCAGTTAACATGTACAACAAACTAAGAGGGGGGTATGAATTTGTTTCTTATCGCAAATAATACCTTTAATAATTTTCTCTAAAATATAAATTCCTTAACAACAATTTAAACAAATTAAAGAGTAAGAAAGAGAGAAAATTGAACAGGTGATTTTTATACTAGCTCGGATCACACAAATCCTACATCAAATTGTTAATCTCGAACGAGAATTAACGTTTCACTATCACAAACCAACAAATTGTTACAATCACAACGAAAATAACACGGTTTAAGGTTACAACACCTCTCTTGTTCCCCCAAGAGATGAAACTCAGTTCCCTTGAAACCCTCAAGGGAAGAACACCTCTCCGAATGCTTCACGAAGGATGAACACCTCCTTTGAATCTTCACAAAGGATGACAGGATTTAACTCAACAACAACTACTACACTCAATCACAACTCCCGTGAAAATTCTCGCTATATGCCAACACCAAGTTCTTAAAGCCAAAGCACAAGGGTTACACAAACCCTAGAACACTTATCACAGTATAAAACAAATAAGAATTTTGAATACCAAGTATTTCGTATTTTAGAATGAGAGTCTCAGTCCAATTTGTGGAGATCTCACTCAAGGTTACCTCCAAAAATCTATTGTCAGTTATTTAACATGTGATAATCGATTATTCACTTATGGTAATCGATTATGAATTTAATGAATGCACAAAGGTCAAAACCTTGCTTAAAAATTTTCATAATTGCTCGTGATAATCGATTATAGCAAGTCATAATCGATTACTGATAATCGATTATTATAAGTTTATAATCGATTATCTCAAGTATAAAATGAGGTTTTCTGATTCAAAATGCATTTTAACACAATATAAGACAAACAATACATAAAATCAAAGATAAGTTACATTCTATACATAAATATACTAAATTACAAAATCTTTAACACAAAACAAGTCTTCATGAAGATCTTCTTGCAACAAGAGCACTTGAGACTTGACTTTGAGACATCATCAAAACTTCTTCTTTTCAGCTTTATGCTAACAGTATTAACTTGATTGCATCAACGACAATGTCAGAAAAAAAAAATGTTTCACATGATTTTTATTATAGTCAAAGTCAAAATAGTTTAGACATTATGAAAAGTTTAGGGATGCAGGAAAAAAACAACGGGGTGTTGGAAGAAGCCATCTGTTCAACTTTTACATTTTTTTTATTGTCCTGGGAGAGATAGCATAAATATTTACAATTATATACAAATTTGAATTTTAAAAATTTCATACTTTCCTAGAAGATAATTATTACACAAATAAATTGATTAGTTAAAGCATGAATGATCAAGAAGATTTTAAGTGGTACTAAATTTTGTCTTTATTAATAAGAATATAATTTTTTTTTCATATTAGGTTTTCTCTTCCTTTGTTCATAATTGCATAGTTTATTTTTTTTTTTCCTAAGTTGTTTTGGAAAGTGACTTTATTTGCTCAATATGGGTTTGGTTTTACCCATGTTTCGTGTTTATTCTTTTATTTTGGTTTAATGAACTTTCCTATGACAACATAATGGTAAATGTTGTACTGAGTAGGACTAATGATCCTTAGACCCCTCCATATAAGGGCTATATCCCTAAGGCATGTTAGGATCATATGGGTATTGGTGATCGGGTATCCCAATCTGGATACTTGGTATCAATGTTTCCTAACTTAGAGAATGGATGGGTTAAAGGTTGCTATTGGCTAAAAATAGGTAATTGGGTTAATGGGTTTCTCGAGTGATGGGCCCACAAAGGTGTGGTCGATCCAGTTGATTCCCTGGTCAACTAAGTTAAAACACTATAAATATTATACTAATGATAATTTACTTTCTCTTTTTAAATTAATTGAGATTTAACTTCAGAGCTCTGACTAGCTTACTAACTTAAGCATTAGAGAACCTTTTTGTAGAATCTCCCCTATGTGGTAGTGTTTGAAATGTTGGAGAACAGATACTGAGTACTAGAAGCTTGACATCTGAAGGTGCATAAGACGGTTTATGGAAGATATGTCTTTGTGAGATACCTTCGATCCTAAGGGAACATATTCCGTCATTCAAGATAAGAACAAATGTCTTTCAAATTGTTAACATGTCAAAATACATAATGATAACTAAAATTCATAAAAACAAAATAATGATTGGACAAAAATAAAATAAATTATAGATATATTTAATGATTAATATATGTAAGATAATTCGATAAAAAATTAAATAATAGATAAAATAAAAGTTATATTTAAATACAATTTTTTCATTTCAATTATATATGACTAGTGAAAATATATACGTTTTTTATAATAATAAAAAATAGTAAAAGCTTTAAGGAAACATTTCCAAAATGTCTTCCTATCTCTTAACGCAATTATCCTTCTTGTGCATAAATTTGAGTAAAGGTCTTGTACTTTCATGATCTTAACAAATAAAGAGGATGAGACATACAAGCAAAGAAACACTTCTTCGTACATGCAATAAATGTTTTAAACGTTCATAAATGTTAGGATATATTGCGTGTTTAAAACATTTTAGCACATGCAAGCTCGTTTGATAGAAGCATCGTTTAGGAAGTAAGGCGTTTGATATATGATCTTCAGACGATGTAAAATGTTAAACGCTTATTTTACAAAAATGTTTAAGTTTCATTACATTGTTTAGTAAGCTTTTCTATTTGTTCAATAATGTTTGAATATAAGATTTTAAGCTTCAGCGTTTTGTTAAGCATACACTAGATGTGTCCATTTGACAGATGTTGTTTGTTAAACATTGTATGTTGGACGGTATAGGTTGGAAAATGTTATTATCATAAAACGTTATAAATGCTTATTTCGTTCAACACTTATTTTGTTGAACATTATTCTTAGTAAGACATTCTTTAGATGTTTTACTAGTAGACGATATTTTTTCAAGTATTGTATGTTAAACTTCAAAACATGAGTTGTTAGACACTCTAATTTAACTAGACGATCTTGTCTTAACATGGTACTCATCCTCCAAGCCTCCTTCATCTTCTATCAAAGAGTGGGGTGTCTGAAAAAGATTCTCAGATACTGAAGTTAATACTTTAGTTAGAGATTCTAGTCAAATTTAGATTAATGCATAAAAGTAAAGTCAAAATATGATTAAAATAATATTTATAGGGATGTTTTGCTGACCATGGATCCTCACCTGAATAGGCCTCATTTATGGGCTTGTTGGTCCATAGGTCCATTGGCCAACTTACTTGAGACGAGCTACAATCATTTTTGGCTAAGTTACCTAATGTGAGAATGTCTTCAACATGCATAATTAGGTATTGGCATGCGGCATCCAATGAGGAGCATTCTTATCAAAGGATGGATGTAGCCTTTAGTTCGAGAAACATAATATTTAATATTCGATATTCGACACTCGCTAGTCAACATTAAATTTACTTCTTTGGGTGTGCAGTTCATAGTATCGAGTAGATAGTACATCCATTGCAGAGTATTTGATGGTCACCTTGTTAGTTGTACTGGTTACAAGGTATCTGGTAAATGGTATCATGTTACTGTCTTAAGTAACTATTTCAAGACTGGAGTTGATAGGGTTAAAGGGTCTTCGGTCACCTACAGTACAATTTGATACCTACAGTACAATTTGATTTTGCAATTAATCAGTTTCTCTTGTGTAAAATCTTGTTTAATTAATTAGTTTTTTTTTTAAGATTAAATATTTGAAAGAATGAGAATGAATAAATCACATGTAAGCCTTGTTTAAATTATTTACCTTTGAATTACATTTGCGAATATAACCCAATGTTAAAGTACAAATATATAAAGACCGGTTCGTCATTACTGATGAAAGACACCATTTTTTCAAAAATATATTGACAAAAGGCCATAGTGACCACAAGATTGATTCTTCAACGAATGGTGCAGTTTTAGTGTGACTATCATGACTTTATCAGGTAAGGTGTTGCCCTCGGGTTTGGATTTAGATCTTGACTTTATGATGTGTACTTTCAATCTATAACTGATTAAGACAATCTATTATTTTGCATGTTTTATGCTCCCTTTGAACCTATTCTGTAATGAAATTAAATAAATAGCGTATGCTTGATTATGTTTTGATGGGCCAAGCACATTTGAAGCTTTAATATCTTGATTAAATTGATGAAACATGACATTATATTTGATTCGTACAAAGTTACAAGCTTCTTCCGAAACCTATACTTATACGAAGCATTTATAAATATAAAAAGCAGATCCATTGTTTTCTCCTGAAAACACGTAAACCACCAATATCCACGTTCGTATCCTATAAATTAGTATGGTTTAATTGCATGCGGAAAGCAATCAGCACCAAAAGAAAAAGAATGATGGTAAATTAAAAGAAAAAAAAAAGTTTAATGTAATTTAGGTTTTGAAAAATGGGAGGAATCTTAGACAGTACTAGGTTGTGTGGTTCTCCTACGGTAGTTGAGGTTTTTCAAAAGGTGTGCATATATTTGATTGATTTAGTTTATGTTGCGATGTTGCATGGAGGATGACAGAAAGAAGAATGAAATGTTTGTGTGACAGGTATTTGCAGAGTTGATAGGGTCATATTTTTTAGTGTTTGCTGGGTGTTGCTCTGTGGTTCTTAATAATTCAGAAAAGACAAAAGGCCAAATAACATTTCCGGGAGTTTGCGTAGTGTGGGGTTTCACAGTAACCATCTTGGCTTATTCTCTTGCTCATGTCTCTGGTGCTCATTTCAATCCTGGAGTCACTCTCAGCTTAGCTATCTATCGTCGTTTCCCTTTCAAAATGGCACGTTATCCATCACCGTTTCTCTATTTCCTGCGTTTTCGACGGGTTAATATTAATTTATGATTATGGTTAAACAATCTACCTATGTCTGTTCTTCATTCTCATTTTCTTTCTAGATCTTATACTTTAATACAAAATTATAATTTATTTTTATCTTAAATTTTTATATAATTTAATTTTAAAACTTAAAAAATAAATGAGTATAATCTTTTTAATGTAATATTTTTTTGCACTAAAATTTATTAAATTGGTTTCATATAAACATATTTGTTGCAGGTGCCTTTGTATTTTATTGCGCAAATATTGGGATCTTTCCTTGCCAGTGGGACGTTGTACCTTCTGTTTGAAGTAGACGATAATTCTTATTTCGGAACAAGACCGGCAGGATCTCCAGTTCAATCTCTTGTTTTTGAGTTACTTGCAACATTTTTATTAATGTTCGTTATCTGTGCGGTTTCAACGGATAAAAGAGCGGTTAGTATGCTCCATTAATGCACCTTTTCTATTTTTCAATTCCTTTCATTTAATTTTCACATATTACACGTTTTTTAAAACAAATTACTTCTTACCCTGAATAAAAATATTAATTAAATCTATATAAATTTAGATGAAGTATTTTGTCTTACTATCTTGATTATTTTTATTTATGTATTAAGAAATGTGATATTTTATAGTAAAGTATGTAAAATAATATTTTGATTAGTATACATTTACGATTGCTTTTTATTAATTTTATTAAAAATATGTTAGATATTAAAATTGTCATGTTTTTTTTAATGTATATTATTACCTATAGATCACCAGAATCATTGATGGACTCGTCCTTACTATGGAATAAGTTTTTAATGAGATACAAGTAAAAGATAACATTTACATCATCTTATTACTAAATTGAAAAATATAAAAGTTTTGAATGTTTAATAGACTAAAATTATTTAATAAAAACTAACCTCAAAATACAGCCTAAAATATTATATTTATAAATTCCTTAAACCATAAGCATTACAGAAAAAGCTAATTTTATGCACGTCTAAAATTCATTTTCAAACACTATAAATGATGCAAATCCCTCTTTCTGTAACAGATTGGAAAATTAGGAGGGGTTGTTGTTGGTATGACAGTTACAGTAGACGTCTTCATTGCTGGGTAATTTACTGCTAAATTTGTTACTAAAGTAATATTTCAGACACGAAGATGAAAGTTTTTTTTTTTTATTTGGGTTATATTTAGGAAGATTTGATTTACTAAATCATTATTCAATTTTTGAGTGGAGTTTGATAATTAATGGCATGCAGACCTGTGTCAGGAGCTTCTATGAACCCAGCTAGAAGCCTTGGACCTGCTTTGGTGATGAACGTTTACACTGGATTTTGGATTTATATAGTTGGACCATTTGTTGGTGCCATACTAGGTGCAACGTGTTATAACTTTATTAGACATACCGATTGTAACCCTCCGATTTAGTTATCACGTGTAAGTAAACAAATGTGTATTGATTAAGAAGAAATACAATTTTAATATACCATCATAATATAATATAATGAAAATTTTAAAACTGGATCACATAGTCATGAAATTAATTAAAAACTTGTAAAAATAATAAACAATCTCAATACAACTCAAAAATAATGTACTAAAATTCTTCAACATAATTTATTTAAAAGAAATCAATTTTGAAAACTCTGAAAGTAATATCTCACTCATCTCTCGATTTATAGCACATCAACGTCATCAGCAATGTCCTCTCTAACATTATCTGCTTCCTATAAATACTATTATAGTAAACAGAAACTATCATCACAAATACAAGACTATCATCACAAATACAAGAGTGAGCTAACAACATCAACATCCAAAAACACATATAATAATACAATTATTATAATATAGTTATCTAATAATGTATAAGCTCATAACATCACTCCATTTCACAACACAAAACACATTGGTAATCCAACTCTTGTCGAGATAAATCATGTCACCACCAATCACTATTGTTATATGTTGTCTTCTGTACTTTAGCATGCAAGACCAGTTCACCAAATTGGGCCTATGCACCAACGTAGGACTTACCCGTTCACAAAAACAGAGCTCATACACTAATGCAGGTCTTTCCTGTTCACTAAAACAGGGTCCACACACTAACGTAGGACTTATTAGTTCATCAAAACAAGGTATGCACCAAAACAAGAACATTCTCGTATCACGATTAAAGAGTACATAAGACTACATAAGATCCACCACCTCAATTACATTCAACACCAACATGGTTTATTGGACAACAATAAGCAAAAATAATTCAACCAACATTACAAACACTCCAAACAACTCAGCACACACACTACAATACATGACAATAACATCACACAACCCGAAAAGTAAATTAAATAGTTTGGTCTCACCTAGACCAACTCGGAAAAGTGTTCGAAAAAATAACATTTGAAAATAGATCTTGTATCAAACCTATTTAAAAACAAAATCACTTTATTTTATTGATTGTAGTAGGCAAATCACGAACAAACTCAATTACTTTATATTATTTTATATATAAAGATATATTATTTTAAATATTAGACTCTTTGATGCAATCAGCTAGTCTTATTCGTGAAACTTTGATAATAGATTAGTAAGATCAACAAGGAACAAAAAAACTTATATGAAAAAGTGGTTCATTATTTAAATAATATTGGTACACTCTAAGTATGTTTACATTATTAATAAGAAGAGAATAAGAATTTGAGTGTGAATATATCAAGCGTAAAAGAAAATTTAAATGATAAAAATATAAATTTTAATGGAGAAGCCTATTTGTTTCTCATCATAAAAGCAAAAACTATATAACTAAACTATCTTAAAAAAGACATTAATTTTATTACAGATGATTACCCTACAAACTAGTTTGGTGACTATAATATAAACTCATTGGATGAAACTGTATATTTGCCACCACAAATTTCATTAGAAAATTCAACAGGTTTAAATATTTAAAATTCATCATCTATCAAATCAAAAACTTTTTTCGACTAGTCAAATTTAGGGGTTAATGAAATTGACTTCAAATCTTTTATTAAGTTTTTCTAAAGGTTTATAACTTATATTGATATAATGTACAAATTTGTAAATTCCAACATAGTCATTTTAAATTTCATTTTAATTCTCAAGTCAATTTAGCCTTAATTTAATCACAGGTCGAACTGTAATCAAGTGAGGACAAAGTCTAATTAATAGGTTGATTAAAATATCACTCCAAGTTAAGTTATTCTCTTAAGTCTACACCATATGCTCTGATTTCTTTAAAAAGAAAAATAAAGCAATAAAAAATAGAAAGCATATATTCCACTTATTTAAAAATAAAATAATAATAAAGTTTTCTAACTACGTTTCGTAAATATATTTTTGTGAAATTAAAACTAAGATTTCCTAAAAAAAGATATACAATTTTAAAACAATAAATGTATTTTCCTTTTCATTTAGAATTTCTTTTAATTCTTAACAAATGCACTGGAAAACATTGTACTACTAATTAATAAATAAAAACTAAAGTTCTTTCAGAATATTTTGTCAATTTCTGTTTTTCGGAAAAAGAAAAAAATGTAGACATTTGACGTTCCTTAATTAAAGTCAGTCTTTATCTCTTCATAGCACCTAAAAATCACACTCGTTTGAGGTACTCAATAATATTCACACTTTATTTTGGGACCACTAATTCTCATAATGAATATTGAAGAAAAAATGATGGTTACACTCCATCAAGAATCAATAATCAATAATAGAGTTAAAGCCAAATAATATAAAAAAATGAGAAAATCTTATCTATAATTTATGATAACAAGCACAGGTGGTATTTGTTATACGAGAAAAAAAATTATTTTAACAGGTATGCAAATAGAATAGTACATCTTTTGCACTTAAATATTAGTAAACAAAATGTTCATGTTTACGGAACTGAAATAGAAGTAGTTTTTGTCAAATTTATTTGAATTTAATATTATTATTATAAAAACACTAATCACTCATAAAATTTAGTGAAATTTTAAATTTGAACATAGTTTAAATAAATATTATAAGAAGTATGAATGACAAAAACATTTATGTCCGGAAGTATTGGTTGATAAAATTATTTAACGGGTATTCGTAAGTAACACATCATTTAATATTTACTATAAACATGTCGTGGTATCATACTGCTATTTATTATCTATAAAATATTAAAAATAAAATTTAATTTATATTTTATTAAATTTAATTTAATTAAATTTATATTTTACTAAATTATATTTAATTCAATTTATATTATATTTTATATTTTTTAATAATTTTATTTATATTTCATTTTAAAAATCTATATTTATTTTTTAAATACTTATGAATATTTTTAAAATTAGTATTGGACAGAACAAATTAAATTTTCCACAGCTAGTGGATAGATATTATGTGTTCGATATATTTCTAATTAGAATTTCTTTATTAGAATGAATAAATTATACAAACTACTTACATGAATATATCTTTTTTTTAATTAACATGTATAAACACTTAACTTTCCTTACAAAGATAAATGGGCAATGTATTTTAAATAATCAAGGAGATTAACATAATGTAGAATTATTTATGTAATATTCTTCAAATAATTAAGAAAATTTAGTATAAAGATAAAGAAATAGGAAAAATTGAGTAATTTTACGATACAATTAATACAATTTACTAAACAACATATAATCCAATTTAATTAATATTCTTAATTAATATAGACAAGGATGATGATAAATAAACACCTAATATTTTTACTCTCACTCATCCAAAACTAACAAAATAACATTTTTATTCTATAATATAAAAAAAAAAAGATAAATTATTTAAAAAATATAAATATTTTTTTATTAAGTGTTAGAGAAGTATTAAAAAAAAGTATGCATAAAAAAGATTGACATGTATTATGTAATTCGAAAACACATGCAATATATTTCAGAATATTTAATGTATAAGCCAGATGAAACGGTGATTGCAACCTTTTTCATAGGTCAAAATATCACCGAAGCGGACACGTGCTTCTCTCGTTTTGAGAACATGAATTATGCTATGAATCGTTACTTTTTTCTCGTGTAGTTATATTTATTTCTTTTGGGTTTTATTGTCGTTTATAAGCACTTTTATTTAATGCAAAAGTTTGCCATATTTTACTTTAATAATATTTTTTTACTAAAGTTTAGTGAAAGAATAGATTATTTTGAAAAGAAAAATTTCTAACGGATTTAATTAAAATTTTCTACTGCATATTTTTTTAATTAAATTTGTTTTTAAAAATTTTATGTTATGAGTGTTTAACAGTTTTTTAATCTTTGTTTACAGACTCTATTGTTTACTTTTTATGTGAAGTAAACACTATTTTCAATCTCTTATTGTTAATTTATTGATCGATTCATTTATTTTTTATTATTTTTTTCGTAACTCATCGACTTGATTTGCAAAATAAATGAACGAGTTAATTGACTAATTGAAAAAGGAAAATGGTGCTGATTAACATAATAAAAATGAAAAAATAATAATAAATACTAATAATTAAGACAAAATATATAATAAAATAATAAAAAGTAATCATTTTGATATAAAAGCTTTTATTTTATTGATTGAATTTTAATTAATGATTAAGGTAATTAAACATGAATAAGACTTTTAATAATTATTATTTATACTATATGTATTAAAAATAATATTAATATACAATTAAAAATTAATCATTTTAAATCAAAAACAATAATAAGAAAAAAAAAACTTCTGACCCATAAGAAAGTTAGAGGTGTTAACTGAGTTAGAGGGAGCATGGAGCGTGATGCACAGCTTCTAAACCGTGTGGAAGCCAAACAAGACAAAATAAGACAACCTGCACATGATTATTTTATGCCTTATACATATACTTTTTCTAATAAGGAAAACAATAATAATAACAAGTATCTGAAATCTGAGTTACAGAACACTTTTTAAGTGACATCCTCATCTCATCTCGTGTTGTGTGTCTGTGAAAAACCAAAGTACCAAACAACTTAGGTTTGCTTGTCGTGTTTCTCGGGTTTCCTATCACGCCTCGAAAGGTATTTTGTTTCTCACTTTCTCAAATGGGTTTCTTCCACTGCCATAGATTTATATGTGTCTTTCTCTGGTTATTGTTTCCACATGCTGGTTCTTCAATAATGGAGGTCTCTGGTTATTTTTTAGGGAAGAATCATGATTTGTAATTCTGGTTGAAGGCTGTGAGAGCTATGGGAGGGGAGGTTGAACAATCATTCAGCATGGAGTTTCAGGTTATTCATCCATTTCTTGATTTTTAACGTCGATCTATTCTTTCTAATTCCAGTTACAATGTTCCAATCATTTTTTGCTTTCTTTAGTTTGAGTTGTGTGATTGGTTTTGTGTGACTTTTTCTTGTCTTGTGTTTAGAGGAGCAGTGGCTGCCACCAGCTCAGTAGGCCCCTTTCACATTTTAAAAAATAAATTAATTTAAATAATTTCGTAATGAATTTTTTAATTTTTTTATTTTATTTATCAATAAGATTATGTAACCACAGATATATTATTATATTTTATTTGCTTAGGTGTACACCTTTATCTCTCATCTATCATCATTTCATAATTTTACTTTTTTTTTTCTTGGATTTTATCATATTTCTTTTAAACTTTCTCACATTTTGTCGGTTTGATACATTTCTAACAAAATATCATGTCATAAAAGTTTGTAAAAAATAACCGAGGTTCGTTTTGTAAAAGATAGTGATTAAAAAATAAAGTTATTATTTTGAAAATATGTGTAAAAGAAACTTGGGTGGTGAAGAATACAACGATGATAGCTGATGGTAAAAATGTTTAATTAAATCAAGATCATTTGAGGAGTTTTATTGATTATTCCTTTAAAGTGTTAAAAATTACTTTATGTTTTATTTATATTCAAATAAAAGTAATATTCAAGTATTTAGAAATTAAATTTCACAACGAACATATGAATCATGATTTCTGGTAAAGACAGTAGTGATGAGATGGGACATTCAAGATTAATTAATTTTATTAGGATTTATTTTGTTTTATTCACAACTTATCCGATATAATTAAAATATGAATAACTTTTAACTTTGTTTATTTGATTTCTAATATTTAAAAATTTCAAAAGAAAATAAATTAAAAAGTAATAACAGTGTATTAATTTTGAAACAAAATTATGTTTTTGCAGGTATTTATTTTTAAATTAGTGAGTGATGACGACTTCTTTTTTTCTAGATTGAAGGTACTATAAATACTGGTGAAAGAAAGTAAGGACATAGTAGAAGTATTAATGTACATTAAAAATTTGAACTAACGATTATAAATCTTTTGTAATTGTTGACATTGTCAATTCTTTTTTTTCAAAATAGATTTTTATATTCAAATTGAAATGATTAGTTAACAATTTTTTATAACTTTGAAAATAGATTATATGGCATTATTTTATTGATTTATTTGAATTTATTTTCAGAAATAGAGCAATCACGAATCACGAGGCACTACATAGACGTTGCAAAAATGTTATTAAAAAAATTTGTTAAAAAGTATTGAATGAATGACCACCAGGAATTGAGATGTTGAGATAACTTGACTGTTAAATTGTAGTTAAAATTTATAGAATTAATAAGGTAAATGTAATTCAAAACATAAAATAAGTTCAAGGTCAAACACAACCCTACTCATCATGGTCAGTGATATAGTGAATGAAGACAATAATTTGCTAGAACAATGATCTTCTTCAGTTATCATTGCTTAGTCAAACATATAATGATCTTGATCTGAATTGCTTCTTTTGAATTTAGTTGAATAAAGAAGATTGAGTGGAGTTGGACAATGCAATGTTATTCCTTTTTTATGTTCCCTTTCTTTTACTATACTCATTTGTTCACAACTTTCTAATTTGCATGGATTTTGTTTAGTATTGATACTTTTTATGATTTGTGTCATTCGGAACACAGTCAATTCTCTGATTTATCATACCACACACAAAATGTTCACCTTCCATTTGACTATTCCTTGCAAAAAAGGATAAAAGTGTGAAAAGGGAATCCTATTTTTTGTGTGTTGACTGGATAGAATATTGTTAATATTAATTCTGCTGATATCTGCTGCTTTGATTCTTGCCAAAAATGCAGGTAGATTCTATACATTCTGGTTCAATCTCGTTTGGGAGATTTGAAAATGAACCTTTATCATGGGAAAGAAGGTCCTCTTTCTCTCGTAATAGGTACCTGGAGGAGGTTGAGAAATGTTCAAAACCTGGTTCAGTTATTCAGAAGAAAGCATATTTTGAAGCACATTTCAAGAAGAAAGGGATTTTTGGTATTATTCCATCCACAATTCACGATGGATTATCATATAGAGCAGCCGGTGAAAGTGATGGCTCTGAGGGAATTGGTAAACAAGAGGATTTTGAGTCTAATAATGACCACTACGTCCCATTTGACGAAATGTCCCAGAAGGAATTTGAGTTAGAAGAAGGTGACAATTATGTTGAAATGGATCCAAGATCCCAAGAAGATGTCATCCCAATTGAAGAAAACCATTATATTCAATTTCGTGGAATTCCTGATGGTTCAAATTATCATGGAGAATGTGATGTGAACGAATATGAAGAAGAAGAGACCATCGAAGAATATCCAATGCTTTCATTTTCAAGTCTCGAGATGGAATCTGTCATAAATAATTCTAATCATTTCGAAGATGCCAGTGAGAACAATAGTACTTTGAATGAAGCTCATCGATCTGAAAATGAAACAAGTAACATACTCTTAGCTAATGACGAGGCGGTTATGGAAGTGGAAAAGGATGATGATGTTACTGTAAATACTGGTGAATCATCAATAAGCACTGTGAATCCACCAGCACAGTGTGTTGAGGAAACAATTATGAATGATCTTGCAAAACCTTCTCCTGAGGTATGCATTTCCATGAGTTAAGTTCCTGTTTTTTGCCCATGCAAAGATCCAACATATAGAATGGCTTATAATGAAAGCACTATCAATGCAATGAATCAAGATTACGCATATTTATGACATGTGTATTTGTGCTTTAATTTTATATTTCTTTGAACCAAAGCTGATGGTTTCCCCGTACAGTTATTACATTGTTTATATTTTTCAATTATATTATTGTCTTGCTGGGTTGGCATAAGTGTGTTTAATTTATCCATAGGAAACAAAGCTCAAGACTCAACAGAATTCTGAAATGAACAATGTTGGAGTTCAGGGAAGCACGGTTACTTCAGCTAAGGATCCTGCTAGGCATCCGAGTAGAGAGAGTCAAAGGAGAACAAATATAGAAAAGAATTTACCAAAACTTACAACTCCAACTAGCAAAACTTCCAAAGAAGTAAGGACTTAATAACAATGTACTGAGGGATGAAAGAAGGATATTGTCTCTAAATTTTGCTTATACTTTTCAAATGATTACTCTTCTATATAAGTGGCTTGCTTGTGAATTGTTAAATACCGCTAATTTTAGGGCCTCTATTTGCAGGTTTCCAAAAGAGAAGAGAAACAAATTCGTGAAAGCAAAAGGTAATTTTTGTTTCTTAGTTTTAACTGTTATATTTTCACATTCACAGACTCAAATGTGTTTTGAATTTTTAATAATGAAAATGTATCAAAACTACGAAAGGGTGAAGAATCCCAACCTTCTGCTTTAAATTCCAAAGGAATTCAAGAAGCAAGGAGGTTTTATAAACCTATGTGAGATTAATCATTCGTTTTCTCTCATTTTGACTTGAGACAAGCAAAATCGTGTTTTGCAGGTTGAACCAAGCTTTTGATTCTATGAAGTCCAATGTTAAGCCTAAGGCTGCAACTTTTAACTTTAAATGTAGTGAGCGAGCAGAAAGGAGGAAAGAGGCAAGTAAAATGCTATTTTTTTTGGAATCATTTCTGTTTATGTTAACAAATGATATAGAATGCATGACATTTTATTTGCTGTCCTGATCCTGTCAACTCAGTTCTACATGAAGTTGGAAGAAAAATTGCATGCAAAGGAAGCAGAGATTACTCAGATGCAAGCAATATCACAGGTAATTTAGCCAATAATAGCTTCTACTTATATGAGATGGCAAGAATATCAGAATATCAAGCGACAAGCATTGTATGAATAAATGAGTCGATATTTTTACATCAATGGAACTTGGAACCATTTTTGAGAAATTGTTACATGAAGTTTAGTCATATGTGATATGTGTGGAATCTGTTGGATTCTAATTGAAGGGACTAATATGATTGTTACCAGTGAATTTTCTAATTGAAGTGTCCATTCAATTTACATCAATGGAACTTGGAATCATTATTTCATTCTTTTCCTAAATTTTATCAAATATTTCTTCAAGCATAGCCAAATGCAGAAAAGTGAAATAATATTGTGTGAAATGACATTTGTCTGAGAAATCTGGAAATCGCAGTCTTCAAGTATTGGATAAGAGTTGTGGCAAACAACAAAGAATGAGGAAACAAAACGTGTAGAAGGATTTTGCTATATCTTTTATCTAGTATCTGTAGTGTAGCTGGCTCCAGTTATTTGTATTTCTTGTGAAGCTTGAAGAAACTTACTACATTCAGGTGTTATTTTTGTAGGAAAAGACAGAAACTGACATTAAAAAACTCCGAAAGAGCCTCAACTTTAAAGCAACACCAATGCCTTCATTCTATCGGACAACTCTCTCTTCACAACCACATGGCAATAAGGTACATGTTTTTGGAGTTTTCGGTCTACTTTTGTTCGTGAATTAGTGTTTGCATACAATTTACTATTCGTTGCAAATTAGTTGTTCTGTTGTCTCAATCCAATATGCAACTTCATGGGACCTTCTTGGTCGTCACATATCTACTACCCTAGTTTTTGTTTAGAATTTCTTAATAGAAATGAAATCAAAGTGCTTTTTTCTTTCTCTGTTCGACTTCAACCATTTAATGTTTGCGAATTCTTCCTTTTCAAGTCTCACAACCAGGTTGTGTCAAATAACACCAGAAGTAAGAAAGAACAGAATAAACCAAAATGTTCAACGAGTGGATCAGATGCAACAGTTCCTCCGAAATCAAAGGTGGGAAACAATCTGGATACTGGTGAATCGATAACAGTAAGAGAACCACATGATATCTCGATCAAAGAGTGTGCCAAAAGTAAAGTATCTGAATCTAGTTTGATTTCTCCTGCTGCATCAACCAACCATAGACACGTTCCTAATTCTATGACAAGTAATCATGCTTCTGGAAAGAAAGAAGGAGCAAAGGTTTCTTCACAAAAACAGAAGGTATCAAATAGTTGTAAAGGAGCAAAACAACAAAACAACGAAAGAAATAAAAATGGTGAAACCACAAAACACAGAAATGATATAATGAGAAAAGGTGTGAAGAATGTTGGCTTCAGAAACATTTCCAGAAGTGGTAATCTTATTGTACATGTTTCCTATTAAAAAGTTTACCACTTACACTTTATAACTTGAGACATTTCAGGCTCCAGCATAAAACGAAAGCCGAATGATTACCACTTCATACGAATCAATTAAGGCATATTGCACATTGAGTTAGTAACATTTCTTGTGTTTTATTCATGGTATATTTGAGACAAGTTATAGAACAATATGGTCCATGTTACTACTTCTCTAAGTTTGGTAGAAGTAATGTATAAAATAAACATGGAAAGTTACCCAATAACTAGTAGTGGGCATGTTTTTACTGGATTTGGATCTTGTGGTCTTCTCTCCATGTTGAAGAGTGTTCATTTGTTAATTAGAATATAAATGGAATTACATTTATGGAAATTCTAATTTGTAATTAACTTATTTTTTTAGTTTATCATGATCTGCTGCTAGACTATAATACGTTTATCTTCCTTTAATACCATATTTGTATATGTAGTATCATTACAAAGTTCAGTCGACATAAATTTTATTCTATATTTGTTCGTATATTTTTCCTTTTATAATTCTTTTAATTTTTTTTTTAATTTTATCAACTTGTTTTTGTTAACCTTTTCAAAATTAATGAAGGTTGTGATTGTTATGAAATTTATTTATATGTAACGGTGTAATATTATATATATATATATATATATATATATATATATATATATATTT